TGGAGAGGATAATGCTTGAAATTGCGGTGGGTCTGGAGAGCTGGGCCAGTGCCACTTTCTCCCTGACTCCAGGGTGATCTTGAAGACAGGAGGGACCCACCGGCCCCCCTCCTTGCCTGTGGATCACTGAGGCTTTAAGCAGGGGAGCAGACAGCCTGGGAACAGGTCGGCCAACCAGTTTAACCAGGGACTGGTTTCGACTCAGGGAGTTCAAAGGCAGCTGGGGTGTACCCAGTCCTGCCCGTTGCTTGCCAACGGAGCAGCAGCCCTTAACCCTTTCCCAAGGCAACAGCAGAGGGGAACAGTTCATGCTGGAGAAGAGTCTGAGCCTCTCACAGGTGGAATTTACCCTGGTTCTAGTTGGGGGGACACCACCTTAGGGGTTCAAGGGTGGGGAAACTGAGAACAGAAGTTCCTGTGCTCCGCATAGACGAGATACCCCTTGGGAATCCCTCCTCCTTTGGCAGTCCCCGGAGGACCCTGGCTTCTGGGTGGGTACAGGGGCACTGGGATTGGGTTTCTGAAGTTATGAATATTCATCAGCCTGAGCTGGCCTCTGCTTCTGTTTACTTAGCCGGGAGGGGCTGGGTTTCAGGTTCACCTTGACTCCTGGAGCCACAGGAGCAGGTAACTGGTCCAACACCTGTTTCTTTTGCACCTGACGTGCAGCTGCTCCTACCCACCTCTCCCTCCAGGCTGGAGCCCTGCCTGGCGCTGCACCCTGGAGACACCCCCACTGTCCCAGCCTCAGCCATCCGGGCAGCTCCCACTTACGTTCCTTCCCTAGGGAAGGTCTCCAGCCCGGAGCAGTCAGGATTTCAGGTACAGAGGGCATGTGGGTGGGAATCTGAGGCACAGTCCCCAGACAGGGCACCCAGTCCTCAGCCCCGTACCAGCTCTCCGCAGGTAGACAGACATGACTCCAGACTCATCCTACTGGCTTCCTGGAGTCAGTCCAGGCCTTCAGCTGAGCTCTTTCTGGGAAAGTTTCACTCCAGAACCATTCTCTATTAACCCCTGTAGAACTGGAGCTCCCCCTACCCACCTCACCTGTCCCCTTTCACTCTGGTCCCCCTCACCCTGAAAGATGATTCTGGCTGCCCAGCAGTGATACCTCCTTGTTTCTGTCTGGGGCACCCCAACCTTATCAAAGGTATAGAAGTACCAACAGGCGCCTTAGGGGAGAGGGTTCTGAGTCTTTTAGAACAATCCAGAAGCTAGTTTGTTTCCTCTTTCCCTTAGTCAATGGTTAACCCACCACAGCTTAGGAAAGGACAGGTCCAGGCTGGACAAAGTCCTCAGAGGAGCTCATGAACCCAGCAGCATGGCAGGGCTGTTCTGGGACACCCAGATGTGTGCCAGGATAATGGGCGCCAAAGGCAGAGGGTGGCAGACATCCCTTCAGGCCCTTTGTGGGCCCTGAAGCTGTGTGGAAAGTGCAATGGAGTTGGCATCCTCAGGGGTGAGTCTATCTCCCCAAGGATTGCAGAGCCCTGGGGCCAGGGCCTAGACCTCACTAGGCCACTCCAGGGCCCTGCATAGGCCACCTGCAGGGCCACCGGTGTTCATCAAACACTTGGCCAGTCATCCTTGCCCCAGACCTTCTGTGATTATGCTGGACAAGGAGTTGTGTCTTTTGTAAGTATCTTCCCAGTTTAGATATCTGGGAAGTAAAACAAAAAATTTAAAAATCAGATTTTACACTATTGTCAGGGTAGCTCACACTGAAAGCTGGGTTATTTTGTAAAGCAAAGAAGAGTCCCCTAATTTATGTTTTGCAAATTCAGATTTCCATATGCCAGGCTTGCCTAAAGTGGTAAACACCTGTTCTTTGGTGCTGACATATCCTTCCCGGATGGAAGAACTGGATGGCCTGGCAAAGGACTGCCCAGAGAGACCAAAGTACAAGACCAGGAAACTAGGCCACCAACACTAGACCTTGGTGGAGGCCCAGGGCAGGCCTCAGGGGTGATTTCGGTCTACGATGGCTTTCTGACATCAGATCTGTGATCTGTTGATCCCTTTACTCCAAGGAGTGCAAAGCCTCATAGGCATATGTTAAAGTGAATATACTGTAGAGGACGTGGCCTCACATAGAGCCAGTCACGTAGTGTCGTAGTGAGTTCAGGAGTTGGATCATTTGTTCCTCCATTCCAGGGTTTCCATGACAGTTCTGATGGGGGTGGGGAGGCCGTGGGCCTTGTCCCAGACTAAACAGTGGCTGGGGCACCTATAGAATAAGCGAGTGCCCTCCTCCTCCTTCCACCTCAGCTCCTTCGAGAAACCTACTCTGGAACACTGACTTCTGTGCAAGGCTGTGCTAAGCGGGGTGGAGGCAGGCTGCCATAATAAACCTCTCAGCTTGTCCCCTTGGTGCACTCCCCTCTCCAGGGTGTCCTGAAAGTGTGCGTCTGCCACCTTTAATCACTCTTTTTCCAAGTTAGAACAGCATAAGATCTCCCCTTGGCTTCTTGAGCTCAGCTTCAGGCCAGAGCTGGCACTTTGGGGTGTGCTTCCTGGAAAGGGATCCATCGAGCACATACTCTGGGAAAAGCACTAGGTATGCGGAGGGTGAAAGCAGGGGTAGCATGGGGTGGTGGGGTGCAAGCACAGAACTCATTCCAAGCCCAAGCCAGCACCTTCTTTTGTTTTTCTCTCTAATCTGATGTGCTCCTCCCTTTCAAATGCAGTCCATACTTGTTATGGAAAAGCTGGAAATCAGAAAAACAGAAAACAGAGGGAGAAAGCATCTTTTATTTGTTCTATATAGCCCCTTCCCCCTCTTAATAGTTTGGTAAATGGTTTACTGATCTTTTTAGAAAACATAGTTAAGATCTTGAGGGTATTCCGGTGGCCTAGTAGGTGAGGGGCCGTCAAGTCAACCTAAAAGGAAGTGGTTTGAATCCACCAGCTGCTCACAGGATGAAGGGTGGACAATCTCCTCCTGGGCGAGTCACAGCCTCTACAGAACTGCTGTTTTGATGGTTCAGACCATCAGTTTTGTTCTTTTTTTCAATTTCTTCTTTATTATTATTATTTTCTTTTTATGTGTGTACCGTCAAATCAGATCTGACTGGTAGAGGAGGCGATTGTTCCTCCTTCTTCAGCAGAGCATCTGGTGGATTTGAACTGCGTACCTCTGGGATTGCAGAGCATCTGGTGGATTTGAACCACATACCTCTGGGATTGCAGAGCATCTGGTGGATTTGAACCGCGTACCTCTGGGATTGCAGTGTAGCTTCTTGCCACTAGGCCACCAGAGCTCTCCAGACCATCAGTTTTTAAAAGGGGGTCAGTCATTTGTCCAGCTTTCTGATCTACTCAGTGGCTACTCTAAGGGCAGTGGTAGAAGGCTCACCTTCAGTGCGGGAGACGTGAGTTTGATTCCCAATCAGCGCACCTCAAGCACATCCACTGCCCTTCCTGTCAGAAGAGGCTAGCATGTTGCTAAGATGCTGAACAGGTTTGAGCAGGGCTTCCAGACCAAGATGAGGAAGAAAGGCCTATCAATCAATTTAGTTCCAAAAATTAGCCAGTGGAGACCTTAATGGATCACGGTGGTCTGAGCCTGCTGTGGGTGGGAGTTGACTCCACAGCAGTTAAAAACCGGACTATCTTTGGGCGCTTTCTCAGTCCACACCTGGGAGGCCTGGAGATGTCTACCGTTCTCCTGACCCTGTGGGCCTTTTCCTTGATCTGAATTCCAGCTGTCCCTTTCTATTCTACCTGCCCCTGATATCAGTGCTGTCCAGGCATCTTCATCTCTCAGAATGTTCACTGGCTCATAGGACCTTTCTGCAAATTAACAAGTGAGTCCTCTGAGAAAGGCAGCTCTAGGAAAGGGTATTCAGATGCTAAGTGGAAAACCCTGGGTTTGGGTCCCCATGTCCCACCTTCATGAAGAATCTGTGTGGAGGTACTGCCTGTGATGGCCATCTCTCAGATGTACTTCTTGACACAAAAACGCTTTCTAAACGCTTTCAAATCTCTGTCCTCATATTTGCTAGTGAGGAATAAGAGCTATCTTTCATAATTAATACTAGCCAGAATTTTACTTTGCAAGCCCCCCAGGCAGGATTAATGAGAAAGCAGAAGGACCTGAAGAGGACAGAGGAAAAAACTGAGGCCCAGAGAAGCAACATGCCAGAGGTCAGATGACCAGAGCAGTCCCAGGACTTCGAACTCTCACTCCAGCCCGAGCTTCTTCCCACTTGGATAGTGATGAGCAGCTGCTTCGGCCTTTTGATCATCAGTGGGCGGCTGAGTCACTCACAAAACGACAAATTCTATTTGATTTTGTAATGAATTGATAATGGATTTCAAGCAAAGTGCTCAGAGTGTTTCTGTTCATCTGATATCAGTCGTTCATCTGCCCATCTCCTGGCAGCAGGGCCTGGCAGGCTGCGGAAAGCACATGGGAAGGGGTCAAATGTCTGGACGCTAAGTGAGCCAAGCAAGCTCTTTTTTCTTTCCTGGAAATCAAGCCAATCCTGCTGTAGTCAAGTCTCTAACACATGGTCCTCTGTGTGTTAGAGAGCGGAACGGTGCTACACAGAGCGTTTTTAGAGCTGGCCACCAGGCCTTTCTTCCTTGGCACTGCTGGGGTTTGACTCAAACCACCAATGTTTAGGCTATCAGTTTAGGGGTTTGCACTCTTTGGCTGGGCCTGCAATCAGTGACCTCAATGCCTTCTTCAGTCCTTCCTAGCAGGCTGTGTGACTGTCCCCTATGACTTTGCCCACCACTTTTTTCCATTGGCTTCCCTCTGACTTTGCCCCCCACTCTGTCCTGGGCTCCACTTTATTATACTCTTTAAAAGCACTTACTTAGATGGATCCTGAGTTCATTTGGCCTACTTTTCAAGTCTTTCAGGTGCAAGTTATTAAAATCACCCATGATTAAGAGTCTACAGACCCGTGGGCCCTGGGTGCTACCCCTGTCTCCCCACTGATCCCTGTTTTGTTCCACCAGAAAGCTCCGTCCTTGGCTCAGGGACCACCATGACTGAAGTTGGTTGGTGGAAGCTGACTTTCCTCCGAAAAAAGAAGTCCACTCCCAAGGTGCTGTATGAGATTCCAGACACATATGCGCAAACGGAGGGGGGCGTGGAGCCCTCCCGGCCTGAAGGCGGGGACCCCACCAACGACTATAACAGTCGCCTTGAGAAGATTGTGGACAAGAACACAAAGGGCAAGCACGTCAAAGTGTCCAACTCAGGTCGGTTCAAGGAAAAGAAAAAAGTCCGCCCAGTGCTGGCTGAGAACCCCAACCTCTTTGATGACAGGGAGGGCAAAGGACAGTGAAGGGGGCCAAGGAGGGAGCCCGCGCCCAGCTCCCTGACTTCAGCTGGATCCAGGACAGGAGCAGGCCATGCTGGTCTCTTTTTCATGAATGCTGTGGGGTGGCTGAAGCCTGCTGGCCAGGAAATGTCAAGTTTTCAGTTTGTATTTATGCGTCCAGCATTATTTAAGGCCCAGATTGCAAAGTCCTTCAACCCTCCCTCAGTCACACACACAGAAGGCACTCCGGTTCAAGAATAGAAACTTCCACCTGGGAAGACAGTCACAGGTGGCATATCAAGGAAGAGAGAGAAGGGGCCAGACTCCACTCTGGATGCTATGGGCCTAGGGTCAAGGGTGAGTTTGAATTGCTGCACCCTCTTACTCTTTCCTGGACCAACACTAAGAAAAACACATTTTCCAGAAGCCACATGATTGGTTTCCTCGGAGCCAGAGGCGGATAAAGAACTTGAGTTCACCCCCCCAGCTCAATAGTAAACTTCCTGGAACTCTGGGGCCAGGTGTGGAGGGGGAGGACCTTGTCACTCCACGGGCCACAGGAGCCAGATGAACAGACTCCATGGGTGACAGCCACCCGTCCTCAGGGGGAGGTCCACTGGCCTGAGTCCTAACAGGGAAGAGAGAGGGTGGCTAAAAGTCACCAGGGTTCTCCTCTTAGACGCCTGATACTTACTAGTATTTAAGATAAGTCAGATCCTGCGATGAGTCCTGGAACCTTGAATTTTGTTTAAAAATTAATCCTAGGTTTCTCACTTTATAATAAACGGTGCTGCAGAAGCAGACACCCTTTTGTGCTATTGTCCTGCATTTATTGGGGTGACTATTTTGCATGTTTTTGAGGGCTGTGTGTAGATGGTGCCTAACCCAAAAGTGGGAGCTGCTAACCCAAATGTAGTGCCTCTCTGGCAGTTCGAATCCACCTCTGGACAAATGGAGGCCATCTCCAGGGCCATTGGGAGCCTCCAAAGGGAAAGTCAGCTGGGTCTCTTCCAACTTGATGGCAACTGAGTTTGAGTCATGCTCAAACTTTTCACTGCAAGCACCAGAAAAGATATCCAGGGGTGAAAATACAGGAGCTGCGTCACTGGTTCCCCTTCACATCAGCCTTAGCATCTTGGAGTGTGGTCAGGAGCTGGAGACGAAGGAGCTACTTACACATTAGTGGTTACTGCCTGCTGGCAACAGGGATGCCATCAGAGACCCCATAAGGATGTAGATCTGTGGCTGACCTCGATCACTGTCCTACATTTAGTTTGGGATTAGGATTCAAATTCTGATTCCATTCCTGGGTAATCTTAGAAACTTTGTTTAAGTCTCTGTGCCTCAATTTTCTTCTTCCTTGTAGGACACAGTAAAATACTCTCAAGTTTGGCAGTTGACACCCACGAGTCATTTTGTGGGATAAAGTTGTGGTAGTCTGTTTCCATAAAGATTTACACTCACAAATCCTAAGGGGCAATTCTACTCTTCCTATAGGGTCCCTGTGAATCCATTTAGTAAGTCATAGGTTATTGTTTTTTTAACAGTAATAATATTTTACAAAAGGTCAATAAGTGGCTGGTTCCCAGTAAGTACTAAGTTAACTGATTTCCTTTCCCTTAAGAAACTCCACTCTTACACTGAAGCTTTAGTTTAAGAAGTCCACATACTGATGTTGCTATTGTTGGCTGCCACTGATTTTGCTCACTCATGACCACCTCAGGCACAAGGGAACCAAAAGCTGCAGATCACACACAGTTGTGATCCACGGGATTCTTCAGTGACTTTCTGCAGTAAGCCGTCAGGCCTTTCTTCCAAGGTACAGCTTCTCAAGGCACAGCAGATGGAACTGGAAAAAACCAGTCACATGTATGGTGGGCACAGCGGGAGACCAAGGTGGCTAATCCAACAAAGTGGTCCTGCAGCTTCCAGGGCAGCTCCTTGCTCAGTGCTGGGCCAGGAAGCTCTTGCTCAGGAAATTTATTACCAAAACAAACAGACTCCTCTTACAACTGGGCCTTTGTTAGGAAGCCTCACCCAGGCCACCAGGAACTCAAAGGATGAGTTAGAGAGACCAGGAGGGGGTTAGGAGAGGTGTGATTTCTCCAAGGCCTTTTCCTTCATCCTTCCCCACCATATGGAACTTTGTAGGGTTTCACCACTTCCCAATCCACAGAACTCAGACTTTCCCCATCCTGCAGCTCTGAGCAATATTAACAGTTACAGCACTTAGAGAGCACTTAACAGTGGGTCAGGTCTTATGAGCTTTATGAGGTTCCTCCTTTGTTCCTCTCAGCACCTGAGACAGTGTTATAGCATCTCCATTTCCTGGATGGGTTAGCTGAGGCTTAGGATGGTTAAGTCACTTGCCTTAGGTCAGGTGCTCAAAGTACAGCTGGGCCTGAAGCCAGAGTTGACCTGTGCCTGTAGCCACTGCACCATTCTTGATTTTTATCTGCTCAGGGGAATGGACCCTGAGGCTCAGAACAAAGGGACTCGGTCACCTTCAGCAGACAGGAAGCTGGAACAAGAAGCCAAGCCCCCCCTACAGCACTGGGTAGCCTGGAACCAGTGGGAAAAAACAACCAGCTTGGGCTGCGTTCCTATCCCCTGAGACTCTAGCCTGTAGGAACTCCCACTTCACCCTGTCCTGGAGTTCTCTGAGGCTTGAGGGAGATGGGGTCGGGCCCTGGGTCACCTCTGTGTCTGGCATGCCCACCTTCCTCCACGGCCCCAAAGTCATCTCCACAGGACAAGTCCACTTTAATTCCGTATGTGGGGGGGAGGGGTTTGCCCAGGAGTTAGAGCTGAGGCAGCTGCAGGATTTCATGAGGAGGAGGAGGAACTGAAAGTGCAAATATGTGCAGGAGTCAGGAGAGGCTACGGGTTATTGACCACAGTTTCACTGGGACTTGACCCAAGGTGGGGGAAGCTAGAGCAGGAGAGGCGGCTAGAACTGGGCTTTACTGCCCAGAAGGGGCCAATCCTGGGCAGCTGGCTCCCTCTGCTGGAGGCCCAACCTTTCTGGGGAGAAAGGGAGGTGGGAGGCCTCACCTTCCTCAGGTCCCCTCCTCCTGGGTGGGAGACGCTAGGCCAGGTAGAACAAAGACATCACGCTTTCTGACAGGCTTTTATTACAGATTTGGTACAGTGACCGATGGACAGAGTCCAAAAGGAGCAGCTGAGACAAGGCTCAAAGTTGGGGGGGGGGTGCATAGCCCCCAAGGACATAGGTGGGGCACCAAACTTCTCTCCAAACATACACATTCCTGAAATTCACTGGGACACAGGCGCAAAAGACAAGGTAGGGGAGGGCATAAGCTCTCCTGTATTGGCCATGGGGCTAATATTGTACCTTCCTGAGCTCTGGTTTAAGGGGGAGATCAACACAAGACAGGCCAATCATGGAAAGCTCTAGTCTACAAGAGTTGCCAAAGTACACGCCCATACAGTCAAACGAAGTACAGTTTACAGAGCAGCAAGTTCAATGCCAACAAGTGCAAATAATAGTCAGTTCTCTGATCTTGGCTTAGTCACAGTAAACATTTACCAGCCTGGCTTCTCTCCACCACAGCACACCTCTCCTCCAGGCTGTCCCTGGTCACCAGGTGTGTGCGCAAGGAAAGCAAACACATTTTAGCCCAGGCCTCAGCCCACATTATTAAAGACTCACAGACTAGGGGGGGTGCTGTTCAAGAGCTTGAGGTCAGTGCAGAATTTTGCCTAGAGATCTTGTTGAAGTGGAGACTCCACCTTAATGGGTCCAAGTTGGGCCGAGGGTCTGCACCTCCACCACGCACCCAGGGAATGCTGTTGGCCCGTGGACCACGATGTGAGTAGTAACAGTCTAGACTGGTGGGTATCAATCTTGACTGCACAGGGATTCCCTTGGGAGCTCTAAAAGAAATCCCAATACTCAGGCCACATTCCAGGCTAGCGAAATCACCTCTGGGGGTAGCAGCCAGGCAGGCAGCAGGACTTTGAAAGCCCCTCAGGTGAACCGTTTGGAACCCACGGGCCCGTGCGGTCATCAAGAGGAGGAAAGGGGAGTGCAGGAAGGGGTTCAAACACCGAAAGGCATAAGTTCTACAATAATTTCATTTTATACCAGAAAAAGGAGCCCTGGTGGTACAATGGTTAATACTTTGGTGGCTAACCAAAAGGTTGGCAGTTTGAACCCTTGAACTCAGTTTGCAATTCTGTAAGATAACGCGGTGGTGATCTGGTTCCTAAAGATTACAGCCAAGAAAACTCCATGGGGCAGTTCTACTCTGTTACATGGTGCCACTATGAGCAGTTCTTGGGTATACTAAGAACAACAGGAAAATTATGTGTAGGTAGGCACATACATCACTTTATTTTGAATGTAAGGCATCCAGTTGATGACAGGAAGGGAGCTCTGGTGGCTTAGTGGTAAAGAATTGTGCTGCCAACTCAAAGGTACACAGTTCAAACTTACCAGCTGCTCCAAGTGAGAAAGATGGGCAATCTCCTCTCATGCCAATTAACTACTTCTGAAAGTCCTCTGGAGGGTCAGCTGTGAGTTGGTTCTGACTCAACAGTAGACAACAACGAACAAGGGACAGGTAACTCCACCTAAGAGGCAGCCCTCTGCCCTCTTGGGCAGCTTTGATTGTTGTTGTTACGTGCTCTCGAGTCGCTTGTGACTCACAGTGACCCTACGTACAAGAGCCCTAAACCCTGCTCTATCCTGCACAAACCTCACTGTCTCCAACACACTCATTCCCACCACGCCAATCACAGAATCGATGCATCTGTCTCATCGAGGGTCTTCCTCTCTTGCGCTGGCCCTCCACTCTCCCAAACATGATGTCCCTCTCCAAGGATAGGTTCCTCCCTGCAACATGCCCAAAGTATGTCAGACGAAGCTTCAGAATCCTTGACTCCAAGGAGCAGCCTGGCTTCACCCTCTTCAGGGCAAACCTGTCTGTTCTCCTAGCAGTCCATGGTATATTCAACACTTCTCCAGCACCACAGCTCAAAAGCATCAATTATCTTTCTATCATCCCTATTCACTGCCCAACTCTCTGATGCATAGCACATAATTGTGAAGACTATAGCTCGTTTCAGGTGCACCTTAGTCACTAGCCTGACATCATTGCTCTTCTGGAGAGGTCCCTGACAGCTGACTTTCCCAATGCAATTTGTCTTTTGATTTCCTGGCTGCTGGTACCAAGAGTATTGACTGTGGAGCCAAGCAAACTAAAACTGTTCATTATCTCGATCTCTTCACCATCTATACTGATGCTGCCAATTGCCCCAGTGGTGAGAATCTTCGTCTTCTTGATATTGAGCCTCAAACCATATTGAAGGCTGCAGTCCTTGACCTCTGCAGCAACCGCTTCAGGTCCTCCTCAGTTTCAGAAAGCAGCATTGTGTCATCCGCATAACGCAGGTTACTGATGATTCTCCTCCAACTCAGATGAAACCAACTTCCATCTCTGGATCCTCTGGGTTAAATAAAATTAATCTGTGCTTCCAGTGACCAAACAACAACTCCCTTCTATTGAGCCAGAACCAGCTCATAGCTGACCCTCCAGGGGGTTGTCAGAGGTCATAAATAGCACTGACAATGCTTATCTTTCTCCCAAGGAGCACTGGGTGGATTAGAACCACTGGCTGTTGCATTGGCAAGGCAACTTGTTAACCACTGGACCACTAGAGCGCCCTTCAAATAAGGGAAGGAATTAATCAGTAGCGATGTTTGCCATCGAGTCAGAGCCGACCCATAGCTGACCCTCTATCTAGCACGTTGTCAACGGCAGTAATTGCACGGAAGGAGATTGCCCATTCTTCTCCATGGATCAGTTGGTGGATTCAAATTGTGTGCCTTCAGGATTGTGGCACTGGTTCTCACCACTAGGCCACCAAATCAGTAGGGTACTTCACATAAAATAGCTAATGTATTAATGAGCAAGCAACAGAGACTAATTCTTCCAATCAGAGGTCTGTCTTTTGCTTCTTGGCTGCTATCAATGACTTGACTACAAAAATTCCCAAGCTTTGGGTTGCTCTGTTTCAAATTTCAAATTGTTGACAAGAAAATATGACTGGCAAGGTTTGCTCACTGGGCCCAGTCAGCTTTCTCTGGCTAGTATGACCAGGTACAAGGTACCAGGCAGGGCTGTCGGCAGCCCACCAGGTGTCACCAGAGATGCAAATCACACGGCTGCTACCCCCAGAGGGAGCTATTGCAGTAAGTCCTCATCAAGGGGAGGAAAATAACGATGGGACCATTTCCCATTCGTCTCACATTCTCTAGGCATGTGGTTACGAGAGGCAGGTCCTTGGGAAAAGGTATCATGCCTGGATAGGTGGAAGGTCAGGGAATGAAAGATCCTCAAGACAGACTGACATGGTGACTGTAGCAGTGGGATCTAGTGTGGCAGAGCTGATGACGATGGCACAGGAGAGGGCAGGGTTCAGAGCCATTGTTCATGGGGTTGCTATGAGTCATGATCAACTGACGACAACACGCTACTAGACCAGCTAATTACGAGAACTGGGAGGACGAGCTCTGATGAACCCTAAACACAAGAGTGGGAAGGAAACGGGTTGACCTTCAAGAGGCCTGGCTTCCAATCCTACACCCTCTCGCAGCACCTAGTTCAAACAGAGCGGCTGATTCTGGGGTCACGGCGCAAGTCTCTCATAGCACCAGTCTTCCTCCCCGCGGTGGGTCATGGGCCCCAAAGGAGAGTCTCCTGCCAGCATTCTCCGGAAAACAATCCGGTCGTGTAAGCGGTTGGTTTGGCCTTGCCAGAACTCTATCACCTGTGGGCACAGGACGTAGCCGCCCCTGTAAGGAGAAGTAGAGGTTGCACTCTCTGGATTTTTCCAGTCCAGTTGCACCCGCTTCCCCACCTCCCATCTCAAGGTTCCCCGAGGGAAGCTGCAGGAATGCCTCTGAGCAGGGTGGTCAGGGGAAACGGACTTCTCATGCCATGGACACAGCAGCTTCCAGTAAATACTTGGTGGTTCTTTCCAAAGTACCACTCACCAGTGTTTCGGCTTAGGCACCGTTTGTTCCTGGTAGAGCCTCTCCAGTTCTTCATTCTTACTCCTCAGATACTGTCCAGGAGGAGAAGGAGGATGGGTCAGTCCTAACCCGCCTACCCTAGAGACACTGTCCTTTCCTCTGTGTTGGAGGGACAGTGCTGTGGCCCAAGGCCCCCACCACCTGGACTACCGAGGATGAGCCCCACATACCTCTCGGTTGGGGATCACAGAGCTCTGGTGACTGACCACAGCCCCGATCTGGCTGCTCTTGGGGCGGGAGTGGAAGTAACACTCGGCCTCCTCCTCCGGCAGCTTCTTCACAGGTCCCTCCACTCGCACCTGCTCAGAGAGGGCCCTGGGGTCTAAAAAGCATTTGTCCTCCCTCCCAACACATTCCCCACTCCTCTCCCTTTTCCTTTATAGCTGCCCTTCCACTCTCCAATCCCACCAGCTGAGACCAGCTAGTGGAGAGCTGCTTCCGGGAGGCAGAGAGCCTCTGGGTCATGCAGATGGTTATCACTCTCAGCTGCAAACAGAAAGGCTGAAAGTTTCATTACCCAGAGGTGCTTCAAAACAAGAAACAAGGCCTGGCAATTTGCTTTCAAAAAAAGCACCACTGAAAACCCTATGAAGCACAATTCCACACGTCTCCTGATGCGTAAACTCGGGCCCCTCCCCAGGCTGTCCAGGAAACCCCTCACTCACCTGCCGGTGAAGAGGTTCCCAGTAGAAGACAAGAGAAGCAAAGGGATTAGAGTCCTAGAAATGAAAGAGAATCACAGACAGCAATCAGGACAGGGGGACAACATCTTTGGTACACAGAGTGGAATGTAGAAAGGTATAGGGGACAAGTAGCATTTCACTTAAACCTTTAAAGACAGGCTTACTTTTACAGATGAGGAGACAGGCTGACTTATACAGATGGGGAGACAGGCTCAGAGAGGTTATGCAATGTACCCAGTTTCATACAGTAAGAGGCAGGCATAAAACTAAAGCCAGTTGACCTCTAAAGTGAAGTCTTGCCATTTCTCTCACCCATGGATGTGAGAGTCCTGCAAAAAGCTTGTATGGCTGGCAGGGCCTTAGGGAGGCTTCTGAATTGGGTTTCAGACAATGAACTCCAGATACTGAGCCTGACACTAGGGCAGGGGTTGGGAATACAGCAGAGACAAGACCCATTGTAGCCTCTGCAACCACAGAGCTTAACTTCTGGAAGGGGAGACAAACATTAACCAGATAACCACCCATGTAAATATAAAGTTACACACTGAAAACAGGACAGAAAGTTACTAATTACAATGACAGCAAGCAGCATGAGGGGTTGATCAGTGTAGGAATCATGGAAGAAACAGGAGTGAGCTAGGCAGACGGATAACAGAGAAAGAAGGCAGGAGTGATTAGAGAGAACATTCATGTACGGCAAGGAGCACAGCAAGAGCAAAGGTCCTGAGGCAGGAAGGAGCCCAAAGCACTGAAAACACTTGGGGATGGAGGTGGCTATTGAGGAGGCAAGGACCAAGGGGCCCTGACAAGAATTTACCAGCTCTTTTCCTTTTCGGCTCTCAAAGTTAGTGAAGAAGCGGAAGCCGTCCTTGTTAAAGCCCTTCAGCAGCAACATGCGGGCAGAGGGTTTTCCATCCCTAGAGGCGCACAGCAAAGCACCATTTCAACATTCTCACTAGCACCCCGACCCCAGCCAGCACCCCCCTATGCCGTGTCCTGCTTATTCTGCACTGTTTGACCACTTGAGCTTTTGGTCTGTCCCACCCACTCCAATTTGTCCCTAGGGAACTGTTTTCAAGGCACAAGTATGCCACTACCTCTTCTTGGGTCTCTAAGCAGGGGACAACCATAATGCAATCAGCTACCAGTAAGGGATCAGATCCTATATTTCTATGAGGGAGGTACAAGGAGAGGCTAAAAAATGTCTGAAGAGTATAAAATCTGCTGATCTTTCCAGGTACTAAGAAGCAATGATATCAGTCTAGAGACTAAGGTGGACCTGATCCAGTCCATGGTCTTCACAATTACTTGCCATGCATCAGAGAGCTGAATAATGACTAACGCAGATAAAAGAAAAAGTGATGCTTTTAAGTTGTAGTGCTGGAGAAGGGTCCTGAACATAAGAAAACAAATAGGTCTGTCTTGTGGAGGGTGAAACCAAGTTTCTCCTTGGAGGCTAGGATTTTGAAGCTCTGTCTCACAAACTTTGGGCATGTCGCCAGAAGGGGCCAGTCCCTGGAGAAGGACATCATGCTCGGAAGGGTGGAGGGACAGCAGAGGAGAGGAAGACCCTGCATGAGAACTGATACAATAACTGGGGCAATGGGGTTAAGTGTGTCGAGTCAGTGAGACTGGCTCAGGACAGGGCAGGTTTCAGAGCTATTGTACATAGTGTCGCTATGAGTAGCAGGTGACTCGACAGCACATAACAATAACAAAGAGTATATGATTGATTTGTTGCCAAATGATGTGGACAAAACCTGAGGCACTGAGCCAGGTTTCCAGAGGAAAGAGCTTCATGTAGAGGCTTTGGGGTAGATTTTGAAAAGCAGATGGAAATCAGGAAGTTGGGGAGATGGAGGAGGCCTAGGTGCACGTGTGTATGTGTAAGAAACAGATCCAGGGCAGAGATGAGTGACATACTGCATTTTCTGATTAGAATGGAATTGAGTACTTTGGTGGCAGAAGTGCTTTGGTGGTAAATGCTTGGCTACTAACTAAACCCATCCAACAGCTTCAAGGAAGAGAAGCTTTACATCTGTGCCTATAAAGTGGCCCCTGGGACAGTCTGACTATGTCTTATGGGGAGCTATCCACTCAATATCACCTAACAATAACTGTTTTTAGTTTACAGTAAGAAGGTCACTGAAGCCCAGCAAGGACTAGTGACTTGCCTGAGGCCACACACCATGCTAACAAGAAAGCTGGGACCATAAAGCTGGCACCTATCAAACTGAGAGCTTTAGGTTCCCAACTTCATCTGCTCCCACTCACAGATGGCCTGGGGCATGCCTACCTGGTGCAGGTGGCCAGACACATGGCATTGGCTTCTCCAATTTCTGGACACTGAACAGCTTCCTGGAACCAGGCAGCAAACTGCTTTATAGGATCCAGAGAGGTCAAGTGCGTCTCCTCAAATGCCTGAGATGAAGATTTTAAATTTTTATTTCATCTTACAATTGCACATAGTATTTAGTCTGGCACTGTTATAAGCACTTTTCGAAATTACTTACTTCATCCTCATAACAAAAACAATACCCAGGTTAGGACCTGCTAACTTTATTATACAGAAAAGGTAACAGGCAGGAAAAAAGACAAGAGGCCTACTGGTCATGCAGCCAGTGAGAGATGAATAAGGGTTCATCTCATGAGTATTAAACTTACTGTGTATTAGAATCCCCTGACCAAAACATCCATCACTCAAATCTGATGCATGGCGACCCTCCATCAGGTGACTGAGGCTGTAAATCTAAATGGGAGGAGAATGCCCATCTTTTTCCTGTGGAGCGGCTGGTGGACTTAAACCACTGATCTTCCAGGTATCAATCAGTTCAACATGCTACACATTACACCACCAGTGCTCCTTAGAATTACCCTAAACTGTGGGAAGCCAAACATCAAATTTAATAAAAATAAACCAAATGCTATGTCAGGATAGGAGGGAGGCTGATACAAGCTGGAATTCATCCTGTAGCACTAAGGCAATCCTTAAGTTTACAGGGGTAGGCATTAAGGCAATTCTTAAGAGTCTACATAATTCTTGTTGTTTATTGTTGTTGTTCTTAGTTTATATTTACTAAATCCCTCCCTCCTGAGATAAGTATAAGGTAAACAATTTTGAAGAATTTGCCCTTATTTACAAAAGACATCCCCATGATCCTTTGTTTTTATGTACTACTTCCTTGTGATTTTCCTTTGTTTACCTTCCTGATGATTCTCAATAAAAACCCAGAAAGGTGTAGCATAAGGGCTTCAGCTCTCCCAGCTGTTAGCCCCCTGCCTTCACGCTTTCTGGCCTGACCCCCATTCCTGTGTGTCCCCATCTCTGTCATTTCCTTCCATCGACAACACTCTGAGGCTCTACAGGTATCATCCCCACAATGTCTCATTAAGCAGGTTTATTAAGGATCACTGGTAGCATAGTCTGTAGGGATTTTCATTGCTAAAGGGGTATCTCTCTGGCAGTTCAAATCCACTAGCAGCTCCAATGGGAAAAAGTTGGCCACTCTCTTCTCATGGAATCCACAGCCTCAGAAACCCAATGGAGGGTTCTGACGGAGTTGGTTCTGATTAAAAGGCAATGAGAGATTTATTAAAACACCACATTTCTTGGTTAACATGTGGTTATTATTTCTTTTTTTAATTTATTATTATTATTAGTTTTAATGAAAATGTACAGGGACTTTGAATTTCCATTCATTCATTGTTGCACTTTTCTCCCTGCCCACCCCTCCCCCCCCAGTACACTCTTCCTTTGAAAAGTAAAATTCTTTCATAGTTTTACAATCCTTCCCCCCAGGTCTACTCCACTATGCAGTCTTTGTTCTGGACTCCTGTCATGACAATAATACCTAATTTACCTAATAATACCTTTTTAAACCATTTTCTCCCTCATCTGTTTCAATGCAGTATACATTCTTTATCCCATCTTTCTTAGTCTCTCCTCCATCCTGATGTCAGTGCTGTTTTACAACAGTGGCACCATGCAGTATTTGTCCTTTTGTGACTGAGATTCTTCACTCAGCATAATGTCCTCCAGGGTCACCCATTTTGAATAATATTGCATGAGTTCCTTGTTTTTCAATGCAATGTAGTATTCCATTGTGTGAATATACCACAGCTTCCCTATCCATTTATTTGTTTGTGGGCACTTAGGTTGTTCCCAACTCCTTGCTATTGTGAACAAAGACGTGATAAACATGGGTGTGCATATATCTGCTTGGGTGGTGGTATGGTCTCTTTAGGGCATATTCCCAGTATTGGAATTGCTGGGTCAAATGGTATCTCTATTTTCAACTTTTTGAGAAAAAGCCACACCGCCTTCCACAGTTGTTGCACCATTTTACACTTACACCAACAGTTTCTCCACAACCTCGCCAGCATTTGTTGCTTGCTGGTCTGTTAAATTTTGCTATTCTGACTGGGGTGAGATGATATCTCATAGTTGTTTTGATTTCCATCTCTCTTAGAGCTAGGGATTTTGAACATTTTTTCATGTGCTTTTTGGCCATCTGAACATCTTCTTTGGTGAAGTGTCTGTTCATATCCTGTGCCCATTTTTCAATTGGATTGTTTACTTTATCTTGTGGTGCAAAACACATTTTTTTTAATTTTTATTTTATTATTTTTGTGTGAGTGTACCGTCAAATCAGATCTGACTGTTACAGGAGGAGATTGTCCCTCCTTCCCCAGCAGAGCATCTGGTGGATTTGAACCGTGCACCTCTGGGATTGCAAAACACCTTTTTAAGATGTATTTCCAGAGTACTAACAATGAAGTTAGATTTAATCACCATGGCTCTCTCTGGGTCCCAATTAAAAAACAGTTCTCTTGGATAGAAACAAAAATACTTAAAAACAAACAAACAACAAAAAAAAAACAACAGCCCAATAGACATTAGTGAAACTCTTAAAATTACAGCCCTGAGTTATTCTTTGAATCTGGAACAAAACACCCTCCTCTCTTGGGTTCAACTTTAAACCAAACAATGAAACAAACTCATTGCCATGGAGTCAGAACCAACTCAGAGCTGATCCACCAGGGAGTTTTCAGAGGTTTGTTCATCTTTCTCCCTCAGAGAAGCTCGTAGAGTCAAGCTACCTGCCTTTAAGTTGTCAGTGCAACTCGTTATCCACCAGGCTACCAGAACTCAACAACAGAAAGCCCTATACACCTACCAATGTCAACAAGTATAGTATAACCAACTGTATAAGGACAAAAGAGCAGCATTTGCTCAAAGATAAAGCCCAAAGACGAGGTAGGACAGAAGGATTAGTGGAAATGAGAATTACAGAGAGGGAGGAGGAAATGGGAATCCATATAGTTAATGTAAATAATTGTCATAAAACAACATGTGTTATGGTTGAATGAAAAACCAACTTGCTTTGTAAACTTTCACTCAAATCACAATTTAAAAAAAAAAAAACAACCTTAAAGTGACTGGATAATTACATAACATCCCTAAGAAAACAAGCTTCATTTTACCGATGAGGAAACTGAGGGCCAGAGTGGTTGTTGCTGTTGTTATGTGGCTTTAGTCGGAACCCACTAATAGCTGACCCTCCAGTGGGTTTCCAGAGGCTGTCAATGGCAAGGGAGGAGCTTACTTACTCTCCTTTTGTCTCTCTGAGCAAGCAACTGGTGGATTCGAATAGTTTGCCTTGAGATTGGCAGGGCAACTTCTTACTACTAGGCCACCAGAGGCTCAAATAAGTGAAATAAATTGTCCAAGGTGACCCACACAATAAAAGGCAAGATTCCAACCTAGCCAGACTCCAGAGTTGGTGCCCTTATTTACTATTACACGTCGTTATTTTTTAAAATCTGCCTGTTGCATGAGAGTGACCGCCAATGCCTTGCCCCAAAAGAGTGATCGAAGAAACCCTGTAAGGTTCCTCCAGCTCCCCCTATCCCAGAAGATAACTCTGGGACTTCTATCCTTGTGCCCTCTAGGAGGCCAACCTCAATGACAGTACCTCTCGATCGCCGCAGTAACTCTTGCGCATCGGTCCCAGGTCCATGGCAGCACCGCCACTGCACAGGTAGCGCAGGTAACCCACCCTCTCTGCCCTTCGCCAGAACGTCACGGAGGCGCCACGCAGTGCGCACGTCATGAGGGCCGCTGGCCACGTGATCCGGTGTCACTCCGCGCCAGGATCCGTTAAGTCAGGAACCAATTTCTTAGCTCGACAGTCTACCACCGGGAAGGAAGAATTACCGGGTTGCCAAACGTGGCTAACAAGTTCCAAGTCCTCAGAGCCAATGGGAGGCTAGGACCGAGGGAGGGAGCCAAGTGCGGGAAGATCATTGGCTAGATTTTTCAGGGAACTAGGCAAATTAGAGCCACATTGGAGGAACTCAGCGGCCAAGGGGTAACGTCTCCAGGGGCGGGCGCAAAGAGAAAAGGAAAGGCTGTCACCGCGGTTAGCATGCACGTGGAGGTTTGTTAAAGGTGTAGCGAGTGCAGCAGCCCTGGCTCAAGGCGAGGGCTGAGCCACTGAGGCTTAAGAGAAATGGTATGAAATGGCTGGCCCAACGTAAATGCCTGTAGGCTAATTTAATGTAGGACCGGAGGCTGGTCGACTAGGAAAGGAAATAGAAGTGGAGTTAGGAGCCAGTCTCCCAAACAAGACAATGAATGGGGAGACCCAGAAAGCTTAGGAGAAGAAATTAGGTTTTCTTTTTTGAAATTAGGTTTTGAGAAGAGGAGAGATTGAAGTGGTTTGAGAAAAACACTAGATGAGAACTATTTAGTTGCTAGGATAAAGGGGCTAGTGTCTGGGGAAAGAAGGAAGGCAGCTGAGTGGAAAAGGAGTAAAGGGAAATTTGGGATCAAGATCAGAGCCATTTCTTCTCTGGTTTTCAGTCGGAGTCAGGGCATACATAACGCCTCATTTCCCCTTTCACGGTACATTGCCATAGACACTAGCCCACCGCTCACAGGTCTCCCCCTGTCTTTGCTGAGTTTCTTCCTTTCTTTTCCTAGGTAGCTAGGGAGGTACATCAATGCCAGCAGTAGCTAAAAGTGCAGGGGAACAGGGAACGGTGCAAAGCCACTTTTAGGCTGTGGACACAGGGCTGAGATGGGAAGCCTGCTGGCATCCATTTCATCTTTGACCAGGCTGGACCTTGGGTGGCGGCCTCCTCTCTAGTCTCAGTCTCCACCAACATCAGGAAGGGGAGCTACAGGAGCCTCCTAGGCAGGCACCCCAGGACTGTGTCAGGTAAGGGGACCTTCCTGCTCTGCCTTGCCCAGCTAAGCTTTGTAAAGGTTCACATTAGATACTTACCATCCTTTGTTAACGTGCTTGAAGCTGAAGCCAAATAGAACCTGGAAAGCAAATTTGCCACAAAAAAATAACATAGACCCCCCCCCCCCAGACTTCATGATATTGACCTCTGGATCATCCACTGGTTGGAACTTTTATGCTTCCAATGTCTTGGTCCATCAGCATGATTGAGAGACTTGGTTGGACTTCTTTTTTAAGATGTATTTCCACATATGAACACTGGTGTCCTCTCCTCTCCCATCACTCTACTTGTCCCCACAGAAGCAATGCTTAGTGCCCTTCAGCTCAGATGGTTTTGTCCACAGAGCTGCTGCTATCTTGGACCTGGAGTTTAGGGCACTAAGACTACCGCTGTTTGAACAGTTCTAGGGTTGCTGAAAAAGCAAGAGCTCAGAATAGTGGTATAGATATTTATTTGGCAGACATTTGTTAAAGACTTCTTATGGCCCAGGCACTGAGCTAGGTCTGAGATGAAGAAGTTGTAGTTTCTGGGCCATAAAGGACTTGCTATTTATAGAAGGCAGATCTATAAACTAAAGAATTGCTGGTACTTTAGCACTTCTGTAGGAATTGAGAAGAGAGAAGCAGTTTCCAGGAGTTGAGCAGGAAAGGCATTGTAAAGGGAGTAGTCATTTTACTTGCTTGTTTGCTAGATGGACATGGGATGAGCATTCCAGGAACAACATGGGGCAAAGCTGAGTGAATTTGGGAATGCTGTGATATGGCTGATGGGAGGTGGTGCATTAATAGCTGGATGAGTAGGCAGGGTCTTGGCTGAAGAGTCAGCATGCAGGTGTCCAGAACTAGACCCTGAAACACAAAGATTCTCATTTTTTCTGTCCTGGGATATTACTGGACTATAGGGTGCCTGGTTGGTGATTGGCTACCAGTGCTTCAAACCTGTCCAGTAATGCCATGGAAGAAAAGCCAAACAACCTGTTTTTGCAAGAATTATAGCCAAGAAAAACTGCAGAGACATTCTCTTCTGTGCCGCATGGGGTTGCCATGAGTTGGAACTGATTCCATGACAATGGATTTGTTTCGATTTTTTAAATTGTTGACCTAGAGTGTTGAAAAGTGCCCTGATTTTTAAAGGCCCAGATGGAGAGGAAAAGTACGTTTCTGACAGCCTCTCCTTCCTTAACAATTACTAAAGACATTTATAACCAGTTGCCTTTATGTATTTCCCCTTGTCTTGAAGATAAGCTGGCCTGTGCTGTGCTTTTCTGTGTTTTCACCTTCGGTGTTTGGCTCACAAAACCACCCTGCAGGGTGTAACCAGAACGGGGTCAGGGTACTGGCTGATGCCCCTCTTGATGCGTCCTCCCCAAGAGCTTTAGCTGAGTGGGAGAAATGGATTTTTCTCTCCTTTTGTTTTTTCTTAAACACTTAACCACCTTTCTTCCAACCTTATTAAATCACTGCCGTTTTTTTGAGACTGTGCTTTGAGTTCATGACCATATCATGCTGAATGTGCCCAATCTTGCCTGATCTCAGAAGCTAAGCAGGGTTGGACATGGTGAGTTCTCAGACGGAAGTGTCTTGAATGAATAGGAAAATACATTGCAATATTATATGGAAATGGTTCGTCAGCATAGAAACAGAAGGAATGTGCATGGCTTTGGGGATTTTATCTGGCCTATTTTCTTCTAATGCTTTTTTGCAATTCTGGTTATAAATCAGCTTTTATGTAATTATTTAACTTTATTAAATAATTCTGTAATTTGATCTACATTATGTAATTTGTTCTGTGATTAGATTTGTGTTTGAATACCTGGCTTTGATGATCATGTTGACGATGATGGGCTGAGGGGAGAAGGCTTGGTTGGTGGGGCTGGTTATGTGGGTGCATGGGGATGGGGTACATGTGAGATGTGGGGAGGAGGGTATCGGCTCACTCATAGTTAGCTTTAGGTAACATGAATGATGCTTTGCATTAAAGTGGGGCATATTGGAGGAAAAGGCTTGGAGAAAAAGCTGAATATGTATCACATGTCTTGAATGTGAGGTTTTTTGGGACATCTACATTTGGTCACATTTCTCCTCATAGAGCCCAGCCTCCCAGATCATCTATTCTGCATACAGATTGAAAAGGTATGAAGATAGGACACATCCCTGGCATACATCCTTCTCAATTTTGAACCATGCAGTCTTTCCTTGCTCTGTTCTGGCTGCCTCCTGGTCCAAGTATAGGTTTCACATAAGCATGATCAGGTGTTCTGGGATTCCTATTCATCTCAGAGTCAGCCACAATTAGTTGTAATCTACACAGTCAAATGCCTTTGCATAGTCAACGAAACATATAGACATTCTTCTGGTACTCCCTGCTCTCAGCCAGGATCCATCTAACATTAGCTATAATATCCCTAGTACCATAGCCGCTTCTAAACCTAGCCTCATCCAGGCCATGGTCTTTGCAGTTACTTGCTATGCATCAGAAACCTGGACAATCAGTAGGAATGACAGAAGGAGAATGGATGCCTTTGAGTTGTGGTGCTAGAGAAGAGTATTTAATATACCATGGACTGCTAGGAGGACAAACAGGTTCATCCTAAAGAGTGTGAGAGCAGGCTGCTCCTTGGAGGCAAGGATTCTGAAGCTTTGTCTGACATGCTTTGGACACATTGCAAGGAGGGACCAGTCCTTGGAGAGGGATGTCATACTTGGAAGGGTGAAGGGATGGTGCAAGAGAGGAAGACCCTGGATGAGATGGATTGATTCAGTGACTGGTCGGAGTAGGTGTGTCAGAGACAATAAGATTGGCACAGGATAGACCAGGGTTTAGGACTGCTGTACATAGGGTCACTGTGAATGGCACATAACAATGATAAATATGGTCAGGATGGATAATTGAGTCTGGAGATTAGGGAAGATGTCTGAGATGGTGATAACAATTAAGTATTACAATGGGGGGGAGGGACGATGAGAATGAATGTCTGAGTATGGAAGAGGGCCTGGGGGAATGAAGGAGGATATTGGAGAAGTCCAGGGAGAGTGGTATTGATGCTGATGAAAGACCAGCACCTGTTGCCATCAAGTCAATGGCAACTCAGAGTAGAACTATGCTTTTTTTCAAATTGCTGATTTATAAAATCTGAAAGTTTTTCACTGTGATTTGAATGGAAGTTTATAGAGCAGATTGGCTTTTCAATCCAAAAATCCATACACACACATTATGTTTCGTGACACCTAGTACATTCCCCACATTGTAACCACACTCCTTCCACTTGTTCCCTGTGTTCTCTGTTCCCATTTATCTTTCTGTCCTGTCTTCTGAGCTTTATGCTGCTCTTTTGGGTTTACAGTTGATTGCTCCTTAATAGTTGGTAGGGTTTTTTTTTTTTAGTAAGTAGATTACCAGGTCTTTCTTCCAGAGTTCCTCTGGGAGGACTTGAACTGCCAAGCTTTTGGTTAGTAGCCAAGCACTCAACAGTTTTTACCACGCAGGGACTCCACTGGTCAGAGAAAGGGATGGTTAATGCAGAAGTCACAAACTGATGGTCCTGCTGTTTTGAGTCAGCATGTAAACATTGAGAGATTTCACAAACAACATCTCCAGAGTAAAGAGTGCAGGCAGCTTAGGGGCGCTGTGTCTAACCTCTGCCATCTCCACAAAAGAGAACTATCTCTGTCATTAACATCCACAGTGCAAAGCCAGATCTTATGAAGCCCCCTTTCAACTCCTACTTCTACCAATTCTAACGCTAACCTCACCTCCCAGGACTCTCACTGATTCCAGTAATCCACTGCAGTGGTCACACAGAACTCAGACTTATACTCATGTTTGTGGGGTTTATTAGGAATATTAACAGGTTACAATTGAGGCAGGCAGTGGGACACAGTTCCAGTTGAGGCAGGCAGTGGGACACAGTTCTTCAGGACAGCTTCTCAGGTTTGCTAGCAAGCCCTGTGCCCTTACGTCAGTATTACAAAACTCTCATAGTCCTACCCATTATAGCATTTCCCCACCAGTCCCCCAGCAAGCTCAGGTGAAGGCCCCAGCTCTGGAAGGCCCTCAGCTCTGGCTCTGTGGGGCAGCAGTGTGTGTCAGTTCTGTCTCACAGTGGTCTCTGGGTCTCTACTGCTGCTTCCTCCCAAACTGGAATCTCTCTGGCCCAGAGGACGCACATCACATTCTCACTTCTTCTTTCTTGTTAGTAGCAAGAATCTCATCTCTAGTCTCTAACCCTGTTTACTTTGAACCTGGAGGGATGATAAAATTGGCCACTCCCACCATCAGTCGTCTCCACATCTTGTTTGCCTGTTCCCATCCAACCATGTGGTAAAAGACAAAGGGGTGGCTAGGAAAGCCATTCTGAAAAAGAAACCCATCACACCACATTGGGCTTCTCACATCAAAATCAGATCCGGCTTCTCACCCAGCACCAACTGATCACACCTGAGTGGGCACTCTTCTGATGGTGGTTGTGCACCCCAGTTTGGCAGTCCCACACTCCCCCAATAGTCTCAGTCCTAGGGCTAGATGAGTTGTTTTGCTGTTGTTGCTTTCAGGGTTTAGAATTATGTTTCCCTTCTGCTCCCTGAGTTTGCAGTGAGCTAGTGTTTAATCAAACGGGGGGAGAGCACCTACTTGGAGAGCCAGAAAGGAAGAGCAGTGTCATGGTGAACCCCAGGAAGAAAGGCTGACCAGAAGTGCGCTGCAGTGCAGGAGGGAGGGAAGGCCAGGGAAGGAGGAGGAAGGGACTCCTGATGATTGACCCACCACAGAGAAGGTGAGGGGCCTCAGACCGTTGTTTAGGAAGGCTCTGAGAACACAGGCAAGGGTTTAGGAGGCCGTGAAAAGATGGCCTCATTATTCTTCAAAATCGAAATAATCTAGTTTAAATTTCAGTCTAAATTCTAGATGTGGCAGAGATAGTCGCTTCAAAGGGTTCTGGGTTTATTTGGAAAGTAGCAATCATGGGGATCAACAAGAGCCTGTTCTCTGCCATTCAGATCAGTGCTGCAGCCACCCAGGGGCCCAGCCCACCCACCCTGGGCTTGAAGCTGGGTCTGAACTGTTCTCTGGACCTATTTGTCTTCCTCAAAATATGCAACCGGTGTGTGTGGCTGGCTGGACCTTCAGTTCTGTCATCGGTTAACCTCAGGACAGGTCTCACAAGGGCAATCCAAGAGGATTAGAAAGGTGGATCTAGTGGCTTGAAGCAAGGCTGAGCCCTATTTGCTGGGTTGGGTTGGAAAAAAATGTTCTTTGCCTGAATTTGACATCAGGGGGGAGGATCCTTCTCCTAGCCCTCATTCTTTCAGGCCTGTAATCCCAGTATCTAGTAGGATTAATGAGAAAAGCTTAGTGTTTAGCATCAGCTGAGCAGAGAGGTGGGGAGCAGTGCCCTTTGGTGCTGATGACCCTGGGTGGGAAGGGGTGTGGCCTGCCTAGATGTCATCCACAGATCCTTTAAAGTCAAGGGTTTGGGCCTTGGGCTGCATCTCATCCTTAACTGTCCACCGACTACCTCCTCAACAAAACTGCCTGCAATTTTAAAATAAAAGGTAGCTGAAAGCTAGGTGAAGGCTCGTTTGCTCTGGTGGGTCTTTTCATCCTTTCCTGGTGCCTCCATTGTGCTAGGTTAAGATACGTTCTTTTGCCTGCTTTCTGTCTCAGGCTCTCTCATATAGTCCCTTTTGAGCTCATGTGTCCCACTGGAGAAGAGAGAAAGCAATGTGCCAGCTTGGCCACACTGCTGAGCTGGCCGCCACTCTTTTATTTCCAGACGATGCTGAAGTCATTTTCCATACTTGCGGCATGAAACACATGACTTGGAATGGATCATTTAGCCTGAGAGCAAAGCCAAGGGAAACATGTTACAGATAGAGGTCAGCTTGTTAATATTCCCCTTCTGCCAATCCCATTATTCAAAACACAACAAAACTAACCATTATAGAACATTCTGATTGAAGATGCTATGGAAGAGTCCTTGATCAAAGGACATGCAGAAAAGAATTTAAAATTCTCATGGAACCCAGACTTTATGGAGCCTTGTAGGCTGGATGAACCCCTGAAACTAGGACTCTGAAATTATCTTTTAAACCGGAAACTAAAATTCCCCTGAAGTGTTAATACCAATGAAGTTAGTGTGTGTGTGTGTGTGTGTGTACCATCAAATCGGATCTGACTGGTTCAAGAGAAGATTGTCCCTCCTTCTCCAGCAGAGCATCTAATGGATTTGAACCGCTCACCTCTAGGATTGCAGTGCAGGTTCTTGTCACTAGGCCACCAGAGCTCGCCAACCCTTGCTGTCTTAATCTAAAATTAAACCAGCTGCCATGGACTCAATTCATGGTGTCTCCAAGAATGAAAGTAGAACTGCTCTACTAGTTTTCTAGGCTGTTACCTCTAAGAAGCAGATTGCCCGGCCTTTCTTCTAAGACACTTCTAGGTCAGTTCAGACCACCAATCACTGGTTAAGTGCTTAACAATCTGTGACAACCAGGGACTCTGAACTTCCTAATAGATCTGTCAGAAAAGGCAAAAATCCCCACCAAAATAGGACATCTGAGCACTTACTAAACCAGGCTCTGACTGACCCACTGCCGTCCTCCCTGGAGTGCTGCAAGGAAAGAAAAAACCAAACAGGTGCTGTGGCAGGGCCCCTACTGTGTGCAGCAGGACTTCCAGTGCTATAGCCACCAGGCCCTTGCCACTGGGGGGGGGGGGGGGAGACTGCATTTCTCCAGACTCTCGAACTTTCAAGATTCCTCTGCTCTTTTCTCCCCAGCTTCTTACTAAAGAGCTCTGAAGCACTGGTGCAATGAGTGGAGGAATTAGCTGGTTGGTGGAGGAAGTCACTGCTAGGCTTGTGTTTGTGGAATCCACTCTGCTTTGGGAAAAACTGGCTTATAGGAAGAAAAAAACCCAAAACCACCAATCTCAGAAACCCTGAGTTGGTCCCTGATGCTGATGGTTCTAAGCAGGTACTCTTCTGGGGGCCTGTGCCAATGCCATGAGGTCATGTGGCTGTGGCTCTTCCTGGGCTGTTTACCAAAGGTCAGGAAGGGTATGGTCCTACCTTTTTCCTGGGCAGACTGCTCTGAGAGACCATGGCTCCCTCCTCTGGAGTCCCCTCTCCGAGCTCTCCAAGGTAAAAGAGAAAGGAAGCCGCATGGCCAAATTGCAGATTTTGCCTCAGGCAACTAAATTTATTATTAGCAAGAAAAAATTTTTGTCAGCTCACTGCTGACCAACAAAGTACATTGTTAATAAAGGATAACAAATCTGTCACTTAATTCAGAAAACATACCTCAAGCAGTTACAACTAAAAATAAAGTTGGGTTTTTCGTTTAATTTAAAAGCCTCAAAAATAACAAGCAATATGTTTTTAAACATATAGTAGACACAATTGTCTATTATACAATATACACTGTACACAAGTAGAGTTTGGGCTGAGGGCGGGAGAGATGAGGTGGAAAGGGAAAGAGGTTCAGTATGTGAAGGCGTTTTTTATGTGAGTCCAGATCTGAATTGAAGTGTTGTGGTGTTCAGAAATTAAAATTGCTAGTGAGAAAAGAAATGCATATGCTCATCATTGTCCCCTGAAACCCTCAAATGAAAGCAGGGTTATTGGGGGGGCGGTGAGTAATGAGAAAAGGAGCGATCAATTAAATAAAACTTGAAAGCACACACAGTACACAGTGTTCATCATCTGAAGTAGAGAATAAGGCAACGTTCTCCATAGAAAAACGGGAATTGGGAAAAGTCTGTGGGTATCTTTACTTTTAAATAGAAAGTTGGAATGTGCTGGACGAGAGCTGTGGCAGGGACTGGGCGGGTATGTGGAGTGAGGGCGGCCGCCTGAGCCTCCCCAAAGGAGGATGCAGGGTAAGCCCTGGGTGTGAGACCCAGGGGTGACCGCTGTGTCTGGTGGGGCCAGAGAGGAGCAGGAGAGGGGTGGGGCATGGCACGATATGACTCAGGCTGGCCAGGCTCTGGGTCACTATAGTGTGTGTGGGGTAGGGGTGGGGCTCACTTTGCTCCTCGACGGAGTGAAATTCACGTTTTTCCTTTGGAAATAAGGGTTCCCACTCGTCCTGGTTTAGAACGTCTCATTGAGCATGGCCCGTGTCCATGGTCTGGGCAGGCCGGGAGCTCATGGTGGAAGAAGGGGCTTGGGCAGAGCCAGGGGGCTTCAGGAGGAGGAGAGGGGGCAGCAGAGCCCCTTCCTGTCAGGACAGATGCAGAACAGGAGAGGGCTGTGGGTGGGCCCAGGCGATCACGGGTTTCCTTTCTGCCAGGGTCCAGGGAGGACGTGGATGGGTTACTGCTTCTTCAGGGCCTGCCACCTCAGTCGGCTTTACAAGTTCTTCGTGACCAGGTGCGTCTTGTAATGCTTGGTGAGGTGGTCACTCCTCATGAAGCGCTTCTGACACTGGGCGCACTCGAAGCGTTTGTCCCCTGGAAGAGGAGATGCCTGTCACTTCAAAGCCCACACACAGGGTCACCCTGAGCCCTGAAAGGGAGACCAGCAGGGTGTCTCCACCTTTTGTCACACTCTGCTCACCTCCTATCTGCATCCCACGGGTTCTCTCTTAGGAGTTCTCACTGACTTCTCTTTCCTGCCTGATTCAACCCCTGTCTCTTGCCCAAGACCCTTGATTTCTACCTTTGCCCCAGGACTCTTCCCACATAGGGATGTCCTCCTGTTTCTTCTGATCACTGTCCCTCTGGCTCTGAATCTGGCTTACCATCTTCCCCGCATAGGAAAATAGCAGGAGGCCACTCTGCCCTCACTGGCCCTGAGCACTGGGCTGTCGGAGCCACGCTGCCTGGGCCACCTGTTCTGTGAAGCATTTTCTGGCCTGTGCAAGGGTGCTGTGCCTTATCTCACCGCAGCGATCAGGAGCCACAGCTTTGGTATCTGTCTCCATCTAAGTCCCAGGACAGCGTTCTGCTCACTAGGGGCCTTCACAATATCAGCATTTCCCAGAACAGGTGCTGTGGCAATTTTTTCATTTTAAATCTTGTATATATTTTCCAGTGTGTTAATAAGTGTAACCATGATACCACACCTGTGATGTTAAAGATGTCAAATAGGATAAAACTGAGTGAAAACTATGATGTTAAAGATGTCAAATAGGATAAAACTGAGTGAAAACTAATGAGTCAGTTTACGGAAAATTATTAGATAAATCATAGCAGAAGCGGTGGCATGGCACAGATGGCTGCTAGGAGCATGGGCTCAGGAGCCAGCCCCCCTGGGTTTGCACCAGCTCCACCGTCCCTAGCTGTGTGGCCCTGTGCACATGACTTTACCTTTGTATGCCTCGGCTAAATGTGGCCAGTCCAAGTACTCTTTCCACAGACTAGTTATGAAGATTAAACTAGCTGATTTGCAAAGTACTGACGTAGAACACTGCCCAACATACTAGGTCACTGCTTTTTAAATAAAGTTCTGAAGATATGGTGACACTGCTTTGGGAAATGCTGTCATTAAGGAATGACTTCAAATCTCCTGGGTAGTCAGTCTGTGGACCCCTGAAAAGGCATGGAGTGGCTATGGCAGGCCCTGCACAGGCTAGCATCCTCCTAGCCAAAGAATTCTGGGTCACTTGGGAGGTGGGGGTGAGGTACAGGCCTGTGGGTGGGTGGTATACAGACCTGTGTGGGTGCGAGCGTGCCTCTGGAGCTCGTCACTCCGTGTGAACCTCTTTCCACAGAAGAACCAGTTGCAGACAAAGGGCCGTTCACCAGTGTGCAGGCGCACATGAGCCCGCAACAAGGATGTCTTCCGGAAAGTCTTCCCACAGTCAGGGATATGGCACACGTGCTTCTTCTTGCCCTGCTCTCCAGATCTGAGGATAAGGATGAGGACAGAGTGGGGAGAATAGGAGAGGAGAGAAGTAGGAGGTAGAAGATGTGAGGTTACGTCAGGTGTGGAGCCAGAGGGTTGCCTCTGGCTCTCGGCCCTGACAGCTGTCCCAGGGGAGCTTAGGGCATTCAGGATGTGCAGGCTGGGGGTTTGGCCCCTCTCTTCCAGTTACCTCTTCTCTCCATCTTTGCAGTTGGGGCACGTGCACGCCATGCGACGTCGCTTCTCCCCAGGAGGGTTCTCCCCAGCCAGGGCCTGCTCCATCTGCAGCTGGATCTGGGTGGGGCTCAGTCCACTGATGGTCAGGTTGTTCCCAGAAACATTCTGCACTGTCAGCTGCTGTTGCCCTATGGGGATGAGGAGGGCACAGTCAGGGTGAGGAAGGCCAAGGGGACAGAAGGGGGTCTGGCTCCTTAGAGACACCCTTCCTCCTCCTGCATGTGAGATGGATGGTAACAGTAGCTGTTAATACCTGTGTGACTCTGTTACATGTAAGATACTGGCCTAACAACTTTATATATGTATTAACTCATTTAAGTTTCATAATAATTCTATGAGATGGGCACTGTTACCTCTATTTTACAGATCAAGAAACTGAGGCGCAGGACCATCAGACAAACAGCTAGTAAGTGGCTGAACTGGATCTAAGCGTAGGCAGTCAACTTTAGAGTCAGCTCCCTAAGTCTCTACACAACACTGGCAGAATTCACTTCAAGATGTTGCCCACACAATTTCAGCTGAGAAAGTATGTGTTATACTGAATTGTCTTGGCGTGTTTTTTTTCCAGAATTTCCTACACACTTATGTCCTCAGGAGAGAGTCATTCTGTTTTCTGAAAGTCCCCAGGGACTTTAGTTAATAAAAGAAAACACAATTTTATGGGCTTTGGAAAAAAAATCAAGTCACATGTGGCCCCTATGATGTCATCTGTGCATAAGGCCATTGAAACAAGGGAAGCATCCCTGACCTGTGCTATATCCCTCAATGGGTCCCTTCATGGCAGAGTTCCTCAAGCTCTCTCCAAAAGAAGAGGAGCTCTGTCTTCCCCACTTTTTACGGACACCTCAAGTAGGAACACCACATGGAAGAAGTGCCCTAAATGCATGAATGAAGGATGAAGAGAGGATGCTCAGGGAGTCACTGACTTTGACAACTGCCCTTCACCATGAGAAGATGCTAAGAAACCCTTTTGCTAGGTTACAATACTCTCTTTGATTATCTGCAAGGGTACTTTCAGGGTAAATCTCTCCACTAAACTGAAGCATGGCACAAGCCACCCCCCTGCGAAAGGTTCACTTCTTTTCTTCCAACCTTAACGCAAAGTTTCACCCAAGAAGCCTTCTTTAAGCTCCTAGACACCACCTCCCTTGAACATTTAACAGTAAGGGCCTCTCCTCACCGCCAGTGTTGGTGATGGTGACAGGCACACCCTGGACCTGGACACCATTGATGTTGATGGTCTGCATGGCCTGGGCGGCTGCAGCCAGCTGAGCTGCATTCAGGCTGATGATGCTCCCAGCAGGGGCAATCTTTGGCAAGGGCCGCTCTTTTCGAAGGATTGCAGCGGAATGCTTTTTGCTGGTCCCGCTGACATGAGTCGTTCGGGATGCAGGGCTGCTACACGTGGTGGTAGATGTGGCCACAGCTGTTGCTGGGGAGCTGTCCTGGACAAGGACCGTCTGCACCTCACCGGAAGGCGTGCGGATGTAGACCTGGGAGGAACCAGGGAGAACAGTCAAGCTTAGCTCCCTGCAGGTCTCAGGCAGTCCCTCCCTGGCCACATGAGAACAGGGGTCTTCAGTTAGCCTAAACTTGTAGTTCTATACTGTTGATATTTCAACATAAGGCTAATAATATTCTTATACTAAACTGGCAAATATTAACTGTCAATTTGAAACAACAAATTTCATTTACTTAGTGTGAAAAAAAAATTATAAAATCTCTTTGATTTAGAGAATTAGAAAGCAATTTGATGGTCACCCCCATAAAAGATGTGTTGTAAATAAGCATCAAACAAAACAGATTCAACTCTATTAATCTTAAAGAGCCTCAGGTTAAGTCAGAAATAATATTTCCCAATTCATATTGGGAAAGACCTAAATGTAGGAGCTACAACGATAAAAGGAGCTCTTTGGTTGGTGGTAAGATACTGTGCTGCCAATGCAAAGGTACGAGGTTCAAATCTACCAGCTGCTCCATGGAAGAAAAATGAGCAATCTGATCCTCCTAGATTTACTGCCTTTGAAAACCTGCCAGAGGGTCAGCTATGAGTCGATTCTGACTCAAAAGTACATAACAACAAAATGATACAAGTCTAAGAGGAAAGCATACAAATAAACAATCATGACCTTGGATTTAGCCGAAGCTTAGATATGACACCCAAAACAGAACAAAAGGAGAAAAAAAAAAGACAAAACACATTAAAAGCTTTCTTTGCTTCAAAGGATACCATCCAAAAAGAAAGAAGAGGCTGGTCTGATGGTAGTGGGTTATCTAAAACTATTAACATCCCAGTGGCTCACGGTTCGAATCCACCAGATGCTCTGCCGGGAAAAGGAGGGACAATCTCCTCCTGTACCAGTCAGATCTGATTTGACGGTACACTCACCAAAAAACAAAACAAACAAACAAAACAAACAAACAAACAAAAAAACTATTAACATTAAAAACCCAAACAAAACAACTATTAACATTAGTGCAACTAAAGTTGGTATACAACCTCCCACTGCTGAATTTTACTGACTCGGGGCGGGGGGCATGGAGGGAAAGCACGTAAGAAGACAGCTCAAAGAATGGGAGGAAATACTTCCAAGTTATGTATCAGATAAGGGATATGTCTCTAGAACAAAGAATTCTTACAACTCAAAAGTAAAAAAGACAATCTAACTAAAACAGAAATTTCTCCCAAGAAGATATATAAATGGCAAATAAGCTCGTAAGAAGATGTGCAGCATCATTAGTTAAGGAAATGCAAATAAAAATCCTAGGAACTACTTCACGCCCATTACCGACCATGGACTGACTGACTCACAGCACGCCTGTAGCACCCGGCAGAACTGCCCCAGAGGCTTTCCAAGACAGTACGCTTTGCAGAGGAGACAGCCTCATCTTTCTCCAGCAGAGCTGCTGGTGGGTCTGAACTTTTCAGTTAGCAGCCCAACATATCCAGACTAAAAAATGCAAACTAAAATAATCTACTACCTTCAGGTTGCTTCTGACTCACAAGCAACTCTTCAAGGAATTTCTGAGGCTTTAAATTTTAATGAGACTGCCTGTCTTCCTCCCACAGGGCTGCTGGGGGATTTGAATCAAAGTGTGAGCAATTTAAGCAACAAAATAATGTAGCATTGGAGGGGAAAATAATGTAGTATTGGATTAACTGCCTAAAGTATAAGATATACATAAATCTATACTGGTACAAAGAAATGATTGTCCAAATACATAAATGGGAAAAAGACAAATCTTCCGTATAGAAGAATTCTAAATAATAGTATAATGGCACCTCTTCCTTCCAGGATATGGAAATTAATTTCCACCCCACTCCAACCCCTGAAAGTGGGCTAGACTTGGTGACTCTTCCAAAACACAGAGTAGAAAAATAATCACTATACTGTGGAGAAACCTGGCAAAATACTATCCCTGTCAAGTGAAAAGATTAATCTCACCAACAATATCATGTGCCCCAAAGAAAACGTGGTGAGGAGGACATTTTGCCTCTGTGGTATTCTTTTACAAACCTATAACCCCAGTATTAAGAAGCTTCGCTGCCAACCCAAAGGCGTAAGTTTCTAACTCATCAGCTGCTCTGTAGGAGAAAGATGGGCAATATTCTTCCATGCATGTGATTAACTGCCTCTGCAAATCCACTGGAGAGGGTCAACTGTGACTCAGAGCAGTACGCAACAATAATTAACAACAGGGGTATTTCAGGGGGAAAGGGCTTTAATAAACAAATGTATGTCAGTCTGTGTGGATCATAACAAACAGTGGCTCTGAGAAGAATGGGAATCCCAGAACACTTGATCGTTCTAATGCAAAACCTATACTTGGACCAGGAGGCAGTTGTCAGAACAGAGCAAGGGAACACTGCATGGTTCAAAATTGGGAAGGGCGTATGCCAGGGATGCATCGTATCTCCACACCTTTTCAACCTATATGCAGAACAGATTATCTGGGAGGCTGGGCTCTATGAGGAGAAATGTGGGGTCAAGATTGGTGGACAATTCATCAACAATCTGCGTTATGTGGATGACACAACCCTGCTTGTTGAAACTGAAGAGGACCTGAAGCACCTGCTGCAGAGGGTCAAGCACTGCAGCCTCCAATATGGATTGAGGCTCAATGTCAAGAAGACAAAGATTCTCACCAATGGACCATTGGCAGCATCAGGATGGATGGTGAAAAGATTGAGATTGTTCACAGTTTTAGTTTGCTTGGCTCCACAGTCAACACTCTTAGCACCAGTAGCCAGGAAATTAAAAGGTGCATTGCCACGGGAAAGTCTCCTGTTAGGGACCTCTCCAAAGTACTGAAGAGCAATGGTGTCTCTCTGGAGACTAAGGTGCATCTGATACAGGCCATGGTCTTTGCAATCACTTTGCAATCATCAGAGAGTTGGACAGTGACCAAGGAGGATAGAAGGAGAATTGATGTCTTTGAGCTGTGGTGCTAGAGAAGAGTATTGAGAGTACCATAGACTGCTAGGAAAACAAACAGATTCACCTGGAAAGGGTTAAACTGGGTGGCTCCTTGGAGGCAAGGATTCTGAGGCTCCGTCTAACATACTTTGGACATGTTGTGAGGAGAGACCCGTCCTTGGAGAAGGACATCATGCTTGGGAGGGTGGAGGGACAGTGCAGGAGAGGAAGGCCCTCTATGAGGTGGATTGATTCAGTGACTGGGATAATTGGGATGGGAGTGTCAGATACAGTGCGACTGGCACAGGACAGAGCAGAGTTTAGGGCAGTTGTACATAGGGTTGCTATGAGTTGCAAGCGACTCAACAGCACATAACAACAACAACAACAACATGTCAGTCTAAATATTTCATCTTTCCTGGATCCACAATCAAAACCAACAATACCAACAGTCAAGAAATCAAAAGACATGTTTACATTGGGAAAATCTGCTATCAAAGACCTCTTCAAAGTACTAAAGAGCAATATCAGTTTAAAGAAAGGTGTGCCTGATCCACGCCATGGTCTTTTCGGTTACTTGCTATGCATCTGAAAGTTGGACAGTGGTTAAGGATGATAGAAAAATCAATGTCTTTGAGTTGCGGTACTGGAGAATATAGAATATTCCATGGACTCCCTAAAGGTCAAACAAACATTTCTTGGAAAAGGTGCCACCAGGGTGCTCCTTGAAGACAAGGATAGTAAACGTCATCTCACATACTTTGGGCATATTGTAAGGAGGGGCTAGTCCTCAGAAAAGGATTTCACGCTTGGAAAGGTGAAGGGTCAGTGAAGGAGAGGAAGACCCTGAATGAGATGGATGGACACAGTGGGCTCAAGTGTGTTGGAGACGATGAAGACTGTATAATACAAGGCAAGGTTGTCATTCACTGTCCACAGGGTTGCTGTGGTAGGTCTCAACTTGCACTTGACAACTCAGTTTATTGCTCTAAGGTGAGGTTTTCTCTGTCAGCTCTGAGGGAAGGTCTTTGTCTCTTCAACTTGTGTCCTGGTTCACCGGAGATTTCCACGTGGTTTGGTACCTACTCCCACCTCTGCTTAATCCATTCCCTCTTCTAGCTTCTAAGAGACTGACTCAAAGCCCACACTATATAGATTCTGTTCATTGGCATAACAAGGATAATCCTTTTCCAAATGGAATGATTGCTACAGGTTTACAGATTAGGATTCACAACATAGATTTTTAAAGAGGCATAATTCAGTGTAGGGACCTCTGGTGGCCTTCTGTTAAGAAGCTGAGCTGCAACAGAGATACCGTTTGACCCAGCAATTCCACTACTGGGAATATATCCTAAAGAGACCATAACTGCCACTCAAGCAGATATATGCATACCCATGTTTATCGTGGCTTTGTTCACAATAGCAAGGAGTTGGAAACAACCTAAGTGAACATCAACAAATGAATGGATAGAGAAGCTGTGGTATATTCACACAATGGAATATACTACACTGCATTGAAAAACAAGGAAGTCATGCAATATTATTCAAAATGGGTGACCCTGGAAGACATTATGCTGAGTAAAATATCTCAGCACACAGGCACAAATACTGCGTAATGCCACTGTTGTAAAACAGGACTGACATCGGGGTTGGGGGGAGACTCAGAAAGATGGGATCAATAATGTATACTGCACTGAAACAGATGAGGGAGAAAATGGTTTAAAAGGGATATGTGATTAGGTATTATTGTCATGACAGGAGTCCAGAACAAAGACTGCATAGTGAAGTGGACTTGGGGGGAGGGATTACGGGGTGGGTTACCTGTTGGTCTGCTAACCAAAAGGTCAGTGGTTCAAATCTACCAGTCCCAGTCCCTCTCTGGAAGAAAGATAAGGCAGTCTATTCTGTAAAGATTTATGGCCTATGTATGGTCTTAGAAAACAGAGTGTTGCCATGACTTGGAATTAATGCCACAGCAGATTTTTAAAGCATGAGAACTTTTAAAAAATTAGTGAATTATATTAGGGTATCGGGCCAAGAAAAGCCTATCTACACAGCAATTCTACAGGATGCATCACCTTTGACAAATAAATATTGCGACTAAACTTCAGAGACACTGATCCCAACATAA